AAATATGTTGAAATCGCCAATATGTTGAAGCTTAGCATTCAGAAGCCAATGACTGTAGAAGTTAACAGTGGCCATTTTTCTCAAAATTTCTGTTAGTTCTGTTGTCCCATCAACATCATTTAGCCTGAGATATGCTTAATAACCCTTATTTTCCTTTAGGTTAAAGCAGTCCTTCTCATTTTTTTCCCTGAAGCATCCCTGGTACCAAAGGAGAGAAACTGCAAATCTCCACAGGACTGCTAGTATAGAAATGCCAGCAGTGGCTTGATATTTCTTTCAAGCTGAACATTCAGTAGTCAAATTGTGTATTAATTTTGCATCCCATGCCATAACAACCCCAGGCTTATTTTAGTATACAAGAGGTGTTTCAACTTGTATACCATCAAGTGAGATGAATTATTTGGGGCTTCTCTCCTCTCTTCTTCTCCCCCAAGACCTCTGTATGGGAAGATTAGGATTGAAGCATATTCCTAAGAATGCCTTATTAGAACACTCTTTAAATATATACTACAGACGGATGCCTTTAAATGACTTAGTTGATCTGAATACAGCACTTAAGACATCTCAGAGGAAATGGCACACGTGACAAAGCTGTTTGGGGGAAGAGATCTAGTGTTTGCTGGAGAGAGAGAGAAAGAGAATATCACTTGATGATTAGGGGAAATTGCTGCACACAAAATGGGGGAAAAAGTCAGCATTAATAAAGAAGGCCAGGAGGGGATTGTTAGCAATCAACTTCTGCAGGGGTCCAGCCTCCACTGATCAAGGCCTGAGTTGGTGGGAGGGAATGAGAAAAGAAAGAGACAGAGAAACAGCGGGATTGGAAGGACTCCCTCTCATGTAGCAAGGGGCGAGAGAATCTCACAAAGCAAGGTGAAACCATACAAGCAGGATATGTTAATGTCTGAGTTAAATCACACAAGCAGGGTAAGTATCAATGACTAAACTATACATATCTTAACATCTATGCTAAGCAAGCCAATCACTTAGGATGAGCAGGTTTGGGCGCCACTTGGCTATCCATAGAAATGCAACTAAAAGGTTAAGGGAGACAAAGGAAAATGTAGGCTTAGTTCCTTGAACGTAAGCCAAAGAATATAAGGGCCTTGCCAGTTTATATTCTATTTTCCTTCAAACTTCAGCCTTTTTATGATTTTTGCCTAGGATGAAACTTTATTTTGGTTTTGGTACCTTAATTGGGAAGACCCAAAGAAGAGAGACGGCATGTGATTCCTTGAACCATAGAACATAAAGATGACCTTTATTTTTCCTTCTTAAACAAACAAACAAACAGAATTTTATATGTGTTTTAATGTACACTCTTTACAACTTATGAATTTTTTTCTTCTTTTATTAGTTAATGGTTTGACTTCTGGCTTTTCTATTTTGTTTTCTGCCTGGGTCAGGCAGCTAGTACGTGTTGTCTCCTGGGTGATCAGGAGATGATGTAGTTGTGTGAGTTATGCACTGGTACGTACTGTTTTCTCCAATTGGCCATTGTTTTCGAGACTGACTTCTATTGACCAGAACTGGCACAGTCTGGAATTTAGGCCTAGCTAACACCCCTCAGAACCAATGAGATGACTTTCTGGCTGATTATAGTATGTTTCATAACCTGCTGTAGAAAAAGGGGAAGTGAGAACATTATGCACCAGGATTATCAAACTTGATGCTTTTGCATGTTTCACTGTTCTCTTACAATTAGGGAAGATGCCAGTTTTGCTTTTGTTATGCTTTTAAAATGCTTGATGAAGATTTCAAAATTAAATGAAAAGGGAACAATTAAAAGTAATACTCTGAAAATGAAGGCGGGTATAATCTCATTTTGAATAGTTTGTTTTTAAGGAATCTTTCCATTTGTGAAAACAGTAGCAATATGCATTATCTCTGTAAAACAGACTCTTGTAGATGCATTTTAAACAGTCAAATTTATATTAAAACATATCCAACACCAAGATATGTATTATAGTAGTGATAACAGCTTTCCAAATCACCTTATAGCACTGCGATTTCTATACTTGTGATGATTTAAATCATTAAGCAGTTCTTCGACATATTTTCTTTGATCTTAGAACTGTGAGGAAGGCTGGAGGATTTTACATCGTTTTTGCATAAGAGAAAATGGCCCAGGGAGAAAGTGATGGAGTACACTCCGACTCTCGTTTCTTCCAGTGTGTTCTGGCTGTACCTTGTCTTCTGGCTCTAGATGCCATCTCTAAGTTCTGTCAGGCTGTGTCACATGGGTGATGCTTTTCTTTTTATCCGTGCTGTTTCCATGGGTAATGATGAATAGGAGGCTTTAGGGTGCTTTGTAGAGAATGCATGCTTTTCCTTTAAGAGATGCCATATCGTGCAGTGGTTAAGACCACATGCTCCGGAGTCAACTGCTAGACTTCGAACTCCAGCTCCACTACTTAGCAGCTGTTTGACTTTGAGAAAGGCCACTGCTCTGGGCCTGAGTTTTTTCATTGATAATTTCAGAATAATTAAAGTGCCTATCTCATAGGGATGCTGTGGTGCTTGAATGGAGGAACACATATAAGGCACAGAGAAGATTGTCTGTGCAGAGTAAGCACTTTCTACATCAGTATATTGTTATTATTATTACTTAAGAGCTGCATTTTTCAAAGTGGATGTGACTTCCCTTGTCAATGTCCAGAGGGAACTTATTCTTGATGTCTACACTGTTAAGAACAAACTCTAGCCAGCTACAGTGGCTCATGCCTGTAATTCCAGCACTTTGGGAGGCAGAGGTGAGAGGATTGCCTGAGCCTAGGGTTCAAGACCAACCTGGGTAACATGGTGAGACCTTGTCTCTACAATAAATTTAAAAAATTAGCTGGGTGTGGTGGCATGCATCTGTGGTTCCAGCTACTTGGAAGGCTGAGGTGGAAGGATCACCTGAGCCCACCAGATTGAGGCTGTGGTGGCTATGAGCATGCCACTGCACTCCAGCTTGGATGACTGAGTGAGACTCTAACTCAAAAAATAATAACAAAAAAAAGTACTAAGCCTCTCTAAGCTTCAGTTCTTAATCAACAAAATTGAGATAATTACAAAAAAAAGAACAGACTTCCTAAATTTTGCTGGCATAGTGAATTTTTTTTTCCTTAGAAAATACATAGAGCACTGATCTAGGAGGCCAGAGACCTGAATGTCATTTCCAGTTTGGTCATTAATCAGCTGTGAGCTTGGGTCAGTCAATTAACTTCATCAGGCTTAGTGCCTTTTCTCTTCTGGGAAGGTTATCCTGTTCAACCTCCAAGTCTTCTAAAATTCTGTGCCATGAATGTACTTGACAGGAAGTCCACTTAAACACAAACATAAGGTAAAGCTATTTATTCATCTTGTATAGTTAAAGACTGCTAGGAGAAGGATTTAGCTATAATTACATAGGATAGAACTGGTAATAGTTAATATAGATTTTGAGAAGTGAAATATTCTCAGACTTTTTAAAACATACCTTTCATCATATACCCTCAGGAAAAAGCATTCATAGGATTAGAAAGATATACCAGTGCATCATGGAGTACCTTGCTAAGACAGGTGAATTGATTCTTTCTCTGAGCCTCTGCTTTGTAGAGGAATGTTCCAGCAATCGGCATAATCCATCTCCTCCCATATTGTCCTTTGGTTTCAAGGTCACACTCTCGGGCACTGCCTGAGAGTAGTCCCAGTGTCAAATATGTTCTTGACTGTTATTTTTTATTTTATTTATTTATTTAATTTTATTTTTTTGAGTTAGAGTCTCACTCTATCATCCAGACTGGAGTGCAGTGGCCGCTCCTGGTCACCGCAGCCTCGACCTGCTGGGCTCTGGCGATCCTTCCGTCTTAGCCTTCCAAGTAGCTGGAACTACTGGCGCGCGCTACCCTGCCCGGTTAATTTTTCGATTTATTGTAGTGATGAGGTCTCGCCAAGTTGCCCAGGCGGGTCTCAAACCTGCGGGCTCAGGCAAGCCACTCACCTCAGCCTTGTTCTTGACTGTTTAACAGTGAACTAAAATAATACATAAAAATAGAGGGAACAGATCTCTGTTGGGCCCTGATGTGAATGGTGGCTAATATATTCCCGCGATCCTTGCTTACTTTTTGTTTTGATTGACATGTTGAGTCCCTGGAGTCTCTTTTTCTCCATCAGCCAGATGGGAACATTGGAAAAGTACAGAAGGAATGTGGGTAACTAGTACTTTAATAACTGGCAGATTGCAAGGATAGCCCAATATGTTAAAAATTAGCTCACCAAGCATAAGGATATGTGATTTATTTTACAGAAGATGCTTTGTTTGTAAACTTGGTTACACTGAGGAGCTGATTTTACTTTCACTTCATTTTAAAGATGCAATCTCACTGTGTTCTCAGGCAGAAGTGCAGTGGCATGATTATAGCTCACTGCAGCCTTGAACTCCTGGGCTCAAGTGATCTTCCTGCCTCAGCCTCTTGAGTAGCTGGCCTACAGGCGTTTTCTACCATACCCGGCAATTTTTTTTTTTGATAGAGACCAGGCTTTGCTATGTTGCCCAGGCTGTTCTCCAATTCTTGGCCCTTCCAAAAAGTTGGGATTAAAGGTGTGAGTCAGTGTGCCTGGCCTTATTTTCACTTTCCTCTTTAAGGAAGCACTTCTTTCCTTGTTTTCTCCCAAATCTAAGGATACTAGATTTGGGTGGGGTAGGAATTGCTGCAGTGTGCAAAGTCTTGGACCATGGTGATGGAAGAGTTGATGACCTCAGTATGAAAGAGGGTTCCCCATGACAGAAATCTCAAGGGACCACCACCAACCACAGAGCCAGTTGGTCAGACTCAGGTTGAGGTCCTTGACTTAAAGAGCAAAGTCCCTCAATAATGTTAGAAAAGAATTTTGGGGTTAACCCTGGAAAAGTGAGTTTGTAGGTCTGAGTCTGTTTCCTCATTCAGCAATGTCACTAAGGATATAGAGTAATGCCATCAGCACATGCCTGGTCCATAACTTTCTTCTTTGGTGTCTATTTATCCTGTTTGTAGGGCCAAGGAGATCTGTTGAAGAATGCCAAGAATGAAGCTCTAGAAAATATGAAGCAGATCCAGCTGGCATGCTTGTCTTGTGGACTGAGTAAGGCCCCCAGCGGTGGTGCTGAGGCCAAGATCAAGCGCAGCCTGGAAGCCATCGAGGAGAAGGAAAGTGGCGAGGAGAACGGGAAGCTGTGACCCTAGCAGTGTTGATGCGTTCATTTGTCCTTCTTGTCAAGGACTCTGGCTTCTCATTCTTATTTTCTTTCTCTGTTTTTTAGAAACTCACAAAAAGATGCCCTCTGTGGGGTGTTTGGACATAGATATTTTCACAATGTCAGTATTTTAGTCTAGTTAATTTATCTAAGTTAAAACCGCAGTATTTTAAATTTGGAGACGTGTGTCAACACCTATGTATGGGTTCATGTGGAAGTGTGTGTGTGTGCGTGTTGTGTGTGTATGTGTGTGTGTGTGTGTGAAAGAGACAAGGAGAGAGGGAGAGAAGGAAAGAGGGAGAGAAGGAGAGAGGGGGGTAGGGGGAGAGAGAGAGAGAGAGAGAGAGAGAGAGAGAGAGAGAGAGAGAGAGAGAGAAATCCTGTTAAAATCTATTATCTATTCTGTGCTGCACTATTAGTTTAGTAAGTTATTCCTTTATCTTTCTCCTTTTAGGACAAATGTGTTAATCTGAAATTCTAAAGAACACTTACTGTACCTGTTGCTGTGTTTAATTTTACTTCTTTGCCTTTAACGTTTAATTTAGAAGTCTTAGCATAGCTTATTGTTGAAGGAAGCAAAATTTATCAAAGCATAGATGTTTTGGTAGATTAAATATAGATTAGAAAAATTCTTAAGAATCACAGTAGAAATAAAAGTGAATGAAAGATAAAACAGATGATCAGAATTTCTGGAAAGATCAACAAAGTCATTCTGTAAGTTAGCAAACTCTTTGAAATATTTATTAAATAAAATCAATTTTAGGAAGTTTTCTGTAGTTGTTTACTAAACATAAATTTAATGAAAAAGCTGGTCATAAGTAAACTTATACCGACATATGTGGTACTCTGAAACTCATGGAAAACTCTGTTACAGTTAGGATTTTGATATGGCAATAATATTGCTCTAGAATCTCAAAATTTGTAGAAAGATCTCAATCTTCCAAGCTGGGAGTTTAGCATTCATTTTCTATAACAGACATGGGCAGCTCAAAGGTTTTGGCTTAGATTGGATTTAAGTTGGGGTACTAAATTTAAATTTAAAGACTTTGTTCAAACAATATAATACCATCACGCTGAGCTGATATAAATTCTGTGGGTCAGATAATATCTCTGTGATGATTTAAGAACTAATTAATTACCAAACACCTATAACATAATTTTAACACATATAGAAAAATACACACACAAAAAGAAGCAAATGACTAATTAGGGTACATTTATAATTGCTTTGAGACCATTTTTACCTTAATGTCTTCATAAAGTACTGAGTGTAATATTTGTTACCTCCAACAGAACTAAATGTTCTATGATTATGAAATAATATATTTATTTAAAACATTGCTTTTATTTTGAAAAGCTTCTTAATTAATTTGATTAACAAATATGCTAACTGGGGGGGAACCTAGAGAAAATAATTGTTAAATTTTGCAAATACAAACATCGTCTATAGCTGTGTTATTTCTGACTTTTTCTTAACACTATATGTTCATGTTGCACATTACTGAGAGTAAAGATATGAAAAAACACTTTTATTGTTTTCTTTTATTGTGAGTTGGTTGAAAAGGAAAGATAATGAAAATGGTTTACTATATAAAAAATATCTTAAAGGATATGTTATTACCATGGACAAGATATGACGAAATTACTTCTTTCTTTTAAAACTGGGCACTTGGAGAGGAGATACCTGAAGTCATTTGAAGGCAAGTTTCCAATGTATTATAATAGCCTGAAAAATTTTCTTTACCTTCCGTTATACTTAACCTACTGGTATAAGGAATAGTGGGATGCAGGTGTCTAAACACTCTATGATGAAAAGAGGTGGTATAGACAGAAAGAAAGCACACCTTACATCAGCCAATTGGTTGATTTCACTTGTGGACCTCTTCACTACCTTGAATTCCACTTGGGTGAATCCATGCCTTTATGGGGATACAGACAGGTGGGAAGATAAAGATTTGCACACTCAAAGAATATCTATACATTTCTTTACTTCAGGGTCAAATCCAGTCTTTGGAAATAGCTTCCCTCCTTTATTTCATTTGTCCTTTAGCTCCACTCACACTTAGAACCTACCCAAATATCCTTGAGACCATAATAAGGATTCCACTTCAACTACTGCTACTTCTGGCAATGGGTTGTCAGCCACTCTCTGCTCCATTCCATTGAGAGTTGTTGCTAGACAGGAAGTGAGATGTGGGGCAGAGAGGAGCTTTGAATGAGAGTGAAGGAGTTGTAAGGGAATAGACTATATGTTCTTGCTTCTGGACAGAATAGCAAAACAAGCAAAACCTTTTGCTTATTATGACCCCACTAAGTTGTTACAATCTAGGAGCATCTGTCTTCTTGCTAGGCTTGAACTGCAGTAGAAGAACACCTCTTCCTCCTTTCATCCACTTAGCTTTTGGTGATGCAAGAAAGCTAGTGTTTTAGATGTTAATTCTATTTTCATTTATTCATTTTTATATCACTAAGGGGATTTGAGTTGGAGGTGGAAGGTATCATCACTGACATTTTACAGGTGAGAAAGTCCAAGGCCATTGAGGTATTGATTTTGAATTCAGTTCTGTCTGATTTTATGTGCAAGAAAAATTGATTTTGAACTCAGTTCTGTCTGATTTTATGTGCAAGACTACTTACTGAATTATATTTTAAATTTATTCTTAAAATTTTAAACCAGACTATTAACTCTTTCCTTTATAACCACAAATACAAAGAGCTATATTTTTTCTGAAAATACAATATTGATGATCAGTCTTAAAAACAAAAATAGAGAAGTGTATACAAAAGAACATACAAATCACCCACTACTAACATGTTGATTTATATCCTTTCAGACATTGTTTAGAGTTTATACATGTAAATAATATGTTTTTTATTTTTTAAAAATGAAATCATATTATATAAACTATTTGTAATAGGATTTTAAAACTTTAACAATATGTCATGGATATCTTTCTGTGTCAATAAATATATATATACATTAGAGCTCCCAGCCTTTGAACTGAATCTAGTACACAAATGATGTGTTTTATTTGAATCATTTTAAAAAAATGTTTAAGCAATAGACAGCTTTTGAAAGTCAGAAATGTCACATAAAATTCAATTTCCTGCTTCTTTTAAAATATTGGATATTCTGGCCACACAAGACAGTCTCCCTCCCCACTTCATGAACACACACACTTCTTGCTTGATGTCAGTTAACTGGAGCTACCCTCTCCAAAGGGGTGTTTACTGTCCAGTTTGCTAGAGAGCCTCCTTACTCATTTATATGACATCTGGGTCCTGTGGACATCTTCGGTGGTGACTCTTGATGCAAATTATCATTTATAATAATTATATAATGTCTTATTTTGTGATTTACCATAATATACGTAAGCATCTATTGCTAGACCTTTCTCTACTAATTTTTTGTTATATAAACACTTCAGTGATAAAATCCATTTTCACAAAGTTGTTCAACTTTTTTTTGAGAATAAATTTCCAGAAATGGAATTGTTGGGTCAAAGGATACAGTGGGTTATGAAGGATTTTGAAATACTGTGCCAAATCGTCTCTGGAATACTTGCTCAATTTAAATTCCTCCTAGGAGTTTATGAAAGTGCTCAAATCTTTGCTAATAATATTTTTTTAAAATTTTTATTTTTGCCAATCTACTAGGTTAAAAAACCTTATTTCCCTTTATCTTTAATCTCCTGTGATATTAAATGCATTTTAATATGCTCATTGACTATAAATAATCTCATCCATATTAAAAATTTTTGTACTCCAGAGGATGCCAGTAAGAAAGTGAAAAGGTTGACACAATAGAATAGGTTGGCATCAAGAATATATAAAGAATGATTGAAACTCAATAAAAAGACAACCCAATAAAAAATTGATAAAGGATCTGGATAGACTTTTCTTCCAATAATATATGCAAATGAAAAATGAGCACATGGAAACACTAGGAAAACACAAATCAAAACCACAATGAGCTATGACTTCACACTCAATAGCTTGGCTCTAATAATAAAAAAAAAAGAATGGATAATAATAAATGTTAGTGAGAATGTGGAGAAATTGGAACCATCCTCCATCCTATATGACTGATAGGCACGTAAAATTGTGCAACTGCTTTGGAAAGCATTTTGTTACTTCCTCAGAATGTTAAACACAGAGTTCCCATAGGACCCAGCAATCCTAGAGAAATGAGAACACATGTCTACACAAAACTTGTAAACAAATATTCATAGCAGCATTATGCATGATACCCAAAAGGTGAAGATAATCAGCATGTCCATCAACTGATGAAAGGATAAAAAATTATATATTCATATGATGGATCATTCAAAAATAAAAATAAATTAAGTACTGATACATATTACAACATGGGCAAATCTTGAAAACATGATGCTAAGTGAAGGAAATTAGGCACAAAGGTCACATATTTATATGAGATGTCCAGATTAGGCAAATCCATAAAGATAGAAAGTAGACTAATGACTGCCAAGGGCTGGGAAGAGGGGTACTAAAGAGCGACTGTCAATGGGTATGAGTTTTCTTTCTGGTGTGATGAAAATATTCTGAAATTAGAAATGATGATGTTTGCACAACTCTGTAATTGTACTAAAAGCTATTTAATTGTATACTTTAAAAGAGCTAATGTTATGGTATGTAAATTATATCTCAGTAGAAGTGTTTTTAAAAAGAAACAGAGAAGATAATTTACACAATGAATGAAACATCAGTGAACAGTGAAATAACTCCTAGAAGTCTAATAAATATAAAATAGGGGAGAAGAGCAGGAAAGAAGAAAAATTGAAGCAATAATGCCTGAAAAATTACCATTTTTTTAATGAAAACTATACACCCACGTATCTAAGAACCTCAAAAAATCCCAAGGCCAAGAAATATGGGAAAAACAACTGTCTTGGTCCATTTTCTACTACTACAACAGAATACCATAGCTGGGCAGTTTGTAAAGAAGATAAATGTATTTGGCTCACAGTCTGGAGGCTGCGAAGTCTAAGAACATGGCTCTGGCATCTGGTGAGGGTAATCCCATGGCAGAAGGGCAGAAGGTGAACAGGCAAGAGAGCCCATTTGAAAGATACTTTGATTTTATCATACATTCATTCTCATAATAACAACATTAATCCCTTCATGATGGTGAGGCCCTCATGACCCAATTACCTATTATCAGGCCCCACTTCCCAACACTGTAGCACTGATGATTAAGTTTTCCTATGAATTTGGAGGACACATTTAACAGCAACAATCAAGGATCACCACAGAC